ACACTTTAAACCTAAGAGGAATGCCACTTAGATCCGAGATCAAGAGATTTATTTTCAATCAAAGGATCGTGAACCTTTGGAATTCACTACTGCAAAAAAAATCATTTTCTGAAGAAGGGCCGCGACCCAAAACATCAACTTCCCTGCTCCTCTAATGCTGCCTGGCCTGCTGTGTTCCTCCAGCTCCACACTATGTTATCTCTAATTCCAGCATCTGCAGTTCTGGCTATCTCTACAATTCATCTGCCAACTTTTTAATTTTCCATTACTACTTCTCCAGCCATATAGGACCAATACTCATTTTAACTCTTTTTTAAAATATGTATAGAGACTCTTTTTCTATCTTTTTAACTTATATCGAGCTTTCTCTTATACTTTTTATTTTTTCCTCCATATTAACCTTTTAGACAATATTTCCCTTTTCTTATATTCCAATCTTTTGACCTGCTTACCCACCTATGCATAATTATTTGTTTTTTTAAAGCTTGATAGTATCCTGTTCTTTTTTTAATTAACCATACATTTACATTCTTCACAGAATTTTTCTTTCTTATGGAATGTATTTAGTCTGTGTATTCCGAAATATATGTCTGTCACGGCATTTCTATGACTTATCTCTTAACCTAATTTGTCAGTTCACTTTAGCTAGCTCTAATTGTGTACTTTCATAATCACCCTTATTAGTATAAAATACTATCCTTGGACCCACACCCCACACTGTCAAACTGGGGGTAAAATTCAATTATATTATTCCTGTTACATGGGGATCGCTTCATGATGAGATCAATATTACTTGTCACTATTTGACTTCAAAAATGTGCTCTTCTAAGAAACTATTGGGGCAAAATTTTGTTAACTGCGCTTTTAATCAACTTTCACCAATTTGATCTTTTTCAGTCTGTATAAAGATTAAAATCCCTATAATTATTGCCATACCTTTCTGACAAGCTCCCATTATTTCTTCCGTCATACTCCATCCCATGGGGTGTGGGGTTCTGCCTACCACTCACAGCTCTCTTGTCCTTCTCTCCCTCTCTGTCTTCTCGCTGAGATTGGCAACTCTCACCTTGACAGAGGGGACAGACAAACGGTGCCTATTGCGGGATTCCCATTGGCCTTCCAATGATGGGGTCTATCCTGCTGGCCTTGATTATATGGCCAGCCTGCACCCTACCCTTTCATTTCCTGGAAAAATTGCAGTGGACATGCCTACCGTACACTGTGAGCTAAGCACCTGTTTCCTGTACCTGATTCCTGATTGCAATTCCAGTCAACCAGAAAATGGCTGGCAATGCATATTTGATCTTCAGCTTCATAGATAGAAACATCCAGTTCAAAAATAAGGAAGACAGACTGACTCTTTGTGAACCACTAGTTGGGCCTGAAGAACTGCATCCAATTCTTTACCACTCTGCACTAAGGGTCTGATAGTCATTCAGAGGGTGTGGAGGAGATTTACTAGAATGAAATATAGGATTCTTAAGGGGCTTGGCAGGGTAAATGCTGAGAAGATATTTCCCCTCATGGGAGAGTTTCAGACCAGGTGGCATAATCTCCTAATAAAGGGGCACCAATTTTAGGGTATGAGGAGGAATTTCTTCAGAGGGCTGTGAGTCTTTAGCACAGGGAACTATGGAGGCAGAGTCCTTGTGTATATAGACTCTTGCATCAATAGAGGAGTCAAATGTCATAGAGTCATAGAGGCCTAAACGTTTCTTAAATGTCAAAATTGTACTCACCTCCACCATTACCTCTGGCAACCCATTCCAGACACTCACCACCCTTTGTGTGAAATAATTGCCCCTCTGGACTCTTTTCTATCTCTCCCCTCTCACCTTAAACCTATGCCATCTCATTCTAACACAGGGAAAAGCTGTCGAATGTCTACCTTATCTATGTCTCTCGTGATTTTATATACCTCTATAAGATCACCCTTCAGTCTCCTATGCTCCGGGGAAAAGTGTCCCAGCCTATCCAACCTCTGCTTACAACATGAACCCTCCAGTCCAGGTAGCATCCTAGTAAATCTCTTCTGCCATCTTTGTATAGTAGGGTGACCAGAATTGCATGCAGTACTCCAAATGTGGCCTCACCAGCATCTTGTACAGCTGCAACAAAACATCCCAACTCCTATATTCAGTGCTCTGACCGATGAAAGCTAGCATGCCGAAAGCCTTCTCCAACCCTATGTTTACCTGTGAGTCCATTTTCAAGGAGCTTTGAACCTGTAGCCCTTGATTTCTTTGTTCAGTTACACTCCCCAAGGCCCTACCATTGACCATGTACGTTCTTTCCTCGTTTGCCTTACCAAAATGCAATACCTCGCATTTATCTAAATCAAACTCCATTTGCCATTCCTCAGCTCACTGGCCCGGTTAACCGAGGTCTTGCTGCATTCCTAGATAAGCTTCTTCACTGTCCACTATACCACCAGTCCTGGTGTCATCTGCAAACTTATTAACCATATCTCCTAAAGTCTCATCCAAATCATTTACATCAATGACAATTAACACTGGGCTCAGCACTGATCCCTGTGGCGCACTGCTGGTCACAGGCCTCCAGTTTGAAAAACAACCCTCTACCATGACCCTCTGTCTCCTACCGTCAAGCCAATTTTGTATCTAATTGGCTAGCTCTCCCTGGATCCTGTAAGATTTAACCTTAATCAGCAACCTATGTGGTACCTTGTCAAAGGCCTTGCTAAAGTCCATGCAGACAACGTCTACCGCACTGCCTTCATCTACTTTCTTGGTCAGCACTTCAAAAAATTCAATCAAATTTGTGAAACACAATTTCCCACACACAAAGCCATGCTGACTATCCCAAATGAGTCCTTGTGTCTCCCAATGCCTGTAGATCCTGTCTTTCAGAATCCCCTCTAACAACTTGCCCACCATGGATGTTAGGCTCACTGGTCTGTAGTTCCCACGCATTTCCCTGCAGCATTTCTTAAGTAATGGCACAACATTAGCCAACCTCCGATCTTCGAGCACTTTACCTGTGGCTGTCAATGATACAAATATCTCCCCAAGGGGTTCCGCAATTTTCTTCCTAGCTTCCCACAAGGTCCTTCCACTTCATCAAGTCCTGGGGATTTTATCTACCTTAATGTCTTTTAAGACTTCCAACAGTTCCTCTTCTGTAACATGGACTCTCTTCAAGACATAAGGTTATGGCATAAAGAAAGGAAAGTGGATGTGGGGAATGTCAGATCAGCCATGATCCTATTGAATGGTGGAGCAGGCTTGAGGGGCCAAATAGCCTACTCCTGTTCCTGTTTCTTATGGTCTCATGGTCCAATGATTGGGAGATTTTAGCTACAAGTACAGATTGGAAAATTGGGGTTGTTCTCCTTAGAGCAAAGGAGATTAAGGACAGATTTGATGGTGATATATTAAATTTTGACAGGTTTGGATAAAGTAAACAAGAAAAAAATTGTTCCATTGGTTGAAGTTACGAGGATAAGGAGACAAAGATTTGAGATTCTGGACTAAGATACAGGGGGACGTGGAGAAGAACTTTTTTATTATCCCCAGTGGTTTGTAATGACCTGGAACTGATTGCTCATGAGAGTGGTAGAAACAGAGAGGATCAGTGGTTCCAAAATGAATGTGATGTGTTCTTGAAAGAAATTGATTTGAAGACTTGTGGGGTTAAAGTAGGAGAAAAGACTGACTGGATTACGGTATGGAGATCCACATAGATGCGGTAAGCCAAATAATCTCCTTCTCTTGTGGAATACTTTCTAATCAACCTGTTCAGAGATGTTATTACAGACCTCCTGGGGCAGCTGGGACTTGAATCTGGGCCTCCTGGCTCAGAGATAGGGACATACCACTGCACTATAAAAGCCCATCCTCCTCCTCTGCAATAAATGACTTGACAACTTTGTACTCTGGTAGATATTTGCAACTTAACTAGCGTTCGTCAGAAAAAGATTAACCCTTCATTTATCTCATCGCTGTATGCAGGACTTAGCTGGATGCAGTTTAAACGCTGCATTTTCCTGCATTTCAGCAGTGCATGTAAAAGTACTTTGTGGCTGTTTAAATAGTCTTGGGCATTTTGAGATTGTGAGGTAAAAGACTTTCTTCCTTCTTTATGTCAGGCAGGTATTGGGAGAATTCGATTTAGAGGGTTAAACCTGTGGTAGGCAGAGCCAAGTGGTGAAAATGAGATCTCAGATAGTAAATTGCAAAATTCCAAACATTTGAATTAATGATTTTTCGCAGCACTTTTGGGTGTTTATTACTTAACATGAAGAATTATGTTATGGTTATCTTGATTCCCAAATGCCTATACTCTAATCTTTGTTACCTGCGCTATAAATAAGTAAGCCTTACATCGATAGAGGTAATTGCCTGCAGTTACTTTGATCTCAAATGCGTGTAAAAGGCATTACTGATGGTAAGCTCTGATTACATTTTTTTGAACACAATCATATGAAGCAAATCATAAAAAAAATTCATTATTTATTTTCGCTTGAATGATCATCATGTTTAAAACAGTTGTCATCATACCTGCTATCAGTTTTAAACGTAAATAGCAACAATGCAATTTGCTGCTGACAATAATGTCACAAGATTTGCTCAAGGGGCAGAGAACATATATGCATAAAAATTGTTGCAGCTTCTAAACTAATGGTACTCGACTTGCAATCAGAAATTGAGATCAGATACATTGTGGAAAATTAAGCAAGGTACGTTTGTGATTTCCTGTCCAGTGCTCCCTTGGGCATGGAAACAGCACTGGTATTCCTTCACAACCTTCTTAACTTTGCTCTTAAAACTAATGATCTCACTGCTACCTGAAGCATTACATTGCAACATGAAACAAACATAATGATGATTGCTATGTTCAGAATTTCCAAAGATGTGCATTTAATTTCCGAAAATGTTTTTCCAAACTTTTCATTGCTAATTATTATTCCGTTGTAATTCACCCTTTTGTACGGTTTTCAATAAACTTCTTCCTTCAATTTTCTTGTATATTTGTCACAGTTTGTCTGCAAAAATGCTCCCCACTGACCTTGAAGAATCTAATAATCTTTATGACGTGGATTTCACCTTTCCTGTCATCAATTTGACTCTCCGGTCAAATCACGGGGATTTCCAGACATCCAGTAAAGGTAGTGTCAACAAGCATGGTAAGCATAAGAACGTTGATGGTTTCTCACAGACTTCAAACCAGGAAATTAAATCCATTGAATATTTAATCTTTTCTAAATAAAAACTGTAAAGAGAGCTAGTGAAACAAACAATTGAGACACAAATAGGGCTTCGCCCCCTGCTCCACTGCTGCCTAGTTTGAAGGTGGGAAGAAGATATAAAATGCACTGGGTGGACTGCTACTCACTGTCCTTTTCAACCTTTTCTACCTTTTCAGTCAGACCACAAGGTGACAATGGATGGCCTGATCAACCGTGGGCCCGATTGAAGCTCTTGTGGGCAATCATTGCCTAAAACCTTCCTGTAATCACACAAAAAAAAGGAGAGGTGAAGGTACATTTGTGTGTTTATTATGATATTGGATTGACTTCTTTCCCAACTTGTGTTTTGGCATGTGAAATCAAATGAGGAATCTTGAATTCCATGGATATCTACAGCTGTGGGATTAGGCCAACCACTCCCTGCCCAAGCATGCAATTTAATTGGAACTATTTGCATTGTAATTACCTAAAATTTGTGATTCTGAGCAAAGCTTTTATCAGGTGAATCACTTATGTTGTAATTTGATTTTGCATCAAATAAATTGAGTGGAATAATTTATACATAAATGTAAGGGGCAAATGTGTAGGAATGTGATTGCTTAGGTGTAAACAAAAAATCTGTGGGAATTAAAAATAAAAGACTGGGAAAGATGTATGTATAAGAATCATTGAACCAGTCCATAGGTCTACCGTGTGGGGCATAGTGGCATAATGCTTATGTTACTGGGCTGATAATCTGGTAGCCTCAGTTAATGCTGTCTAGATAGGAGCTCAAATCCTATCACTGCTGCAAGAGAGACTACATTCAATTAGATAATATCAATAGATAAATTAGATGATTTTGAACACTAGTCTTAGTAATGTCTAAAAACCAGTCTGGTTTACTAAATCTTTAGTCTTAGTAATGTCTAAAAATCAGTCTGGTTTACTAAGCCCTTTAGGGGAAGGAAATTGAATACCCTTTATTAAGCCTGACTTATGTGATGTGGTCTGACCTCTAGATCACCTAACAATCTACTCAAAATCACAGAATTGTTACCATACAGAAAGGAGTTATTTAGCCCTTTATATCTGCACTGGCTTTCCAAAGATCAATTCACTTAGTGCCATTTTCCTGACTTCTCCTTGTGATACTGCACATTGTTCCTTTTCAAATAACAGATAAAGTGCCCTTTTGAATAGTTTGTATGAACCTGCCCCCGCGACACTCTCAGGCAGTGCATTCCGGACTGTAGCCACTCACCGCATGAAAAGTTTTCTTTTCAATCACCTTTCCTTCTTTTCCCAAATACTTTAAATCCGTGTCCTTTCATTCTCAATCCCTCTGAGTGGGTAGTTTCTCCCTATCTACTCTGTTCAGACCTCTCATAATTTTGACTGCATTTATCTGATCTCCTCTCAACCTTATCTTCTCCAAGGAGAATAGTTCTAACTTCTCTAATCAGTCTTCATAACTGAAAGTCCTTATCCCTTGAACCATACTTCTTCTGCACACTCTGCAATACCTTCACATTCTTCTTAAAATGCAATTCTGAGAACTGGATGCAATATATAAGTTCAGCATAAACTTCTTGATCTTGTATTCTATGTTCTTATTAACTTAGGATACTGTATATTTTATTAGCCAAACTCTCAACCAGCCCTGTACATATACACCAGGTTCCCCTGTTTCGGCAATCGCTTTATAGGTATACCTTTTTTATATATTTTCTGTCCATGTTCTTCCGATCAAAATGAATTACTTCAAAGTTCTTTGCATTGAACTTGATACACAACTGTCCACCAATTTGCGACCTTGTCTATGTTCTCTGAAGTGTTATGCTATCTTCCTCACAATCTTCCACAGTTTTACAACGTTCTCCATGTTTTGTATAATTCCTGACATTTGAAAGTGTTTGCTATGCACTGATGTCTAAGCCATTGATATATATTAGAAACAAAGAGGATCCCAACACTGACACCTTGGGGATCTTCATTATAAAAGAGCCCAAAACATCACCAACTAACCATTTCTCTGTTTCTTGTCACTCAACCAATTTCACATCCATTTTCCTGCTATCCCTTTTACTGCACATGGTATTTTGCCCAACTGTCTGTTGTCAGACACTGTGTCAAATGCCTTTTGGAAGTTCATGTACACCACATCAACAGTAATACCCTCATAAACCCTTTCTCTTACCTCACCAAAAATTGAGCAGTTATTTAAACATGATATTACCTTTAGTGATCCATGCTTGCTCTAGAAACATGGAAGATAGGTGTAGGAGTAGGCCATTCAGCCCATCAGCCTGCACCACCATTCAATGTGATCATGGCTAATTTTGCAATTTTAGTTTCCTACTCCAGCTTTCTCCCCTTAATTAAGCCATACTTGTCCATGTGGCTATTAGATTGTCCCAAAAATTGTTTATAAAAGTTTCCCTAATGTAGAGGTTAAATTGACTTGCCTGTAGCTACTAGGCTTATCTTTGTACTCAGCTATATTCAAGAAGGGAGTTCCCCACCACTTTCTCAAGAACAGTTGCCACTGGCCTTACCAGTCGTGATTACATCCTGCGCATTAATTTTTTTAAAGAAGTGACAGGTAGTAGAAAAGGTCGGCCCTTTGACATGAGTGTGGAATTAGAACGAGAACTGAAAAGTCCTGTGAAATAGATAAACAGGATAATGATAGGGATAAATTCCAGTTCCAGTTTCATGAGCCATTGAATGTACTTCAATCAAATGATAACATGACTTAGTTGTTGGTTTAGCTGCCTGAAGGCTTTACGAAGCTATTTTACAGGAAATTGCGTTTTATCCCTTGAAACCAAAGGCAAATTAAATTGTTTTTCACAATGGCTTTAGTTAACTTATTTCAGTTCAACCTGTTTCTTTAATAAGGCTTCTGTTGTGATGAACAGTCATGCTGTTAAAAACTTTTTAAAAATATCTAACAGTTACATTTCTAAAACTTGGAATGAGTTTGACGACTGAATTCGAAATGGACCTTGAGGATCACCTGATATCTCCTTGTGGATTGCAACTGGAGCAATTTCTCCAGGAGACAAAGTGGAGTCATTCTCTGATATGTTAAGGTCCATCAACTTGATGGCTTTCCTTCGAGCACGAACAACTTGACTGATAGGGACCTGGACGTATGAACAGCCTAAACCTTATTGAAAACTGCAAGTGATGAAACTACTTCAGAATATCAAAAGGGGATGACCACTTACCACATTTGGAACATGACTTGGCAATGCAAGTAGAAGTGGCCACTGTGTCATGCCTGCTAAGGATATAGAAAAGACAGGGCCAACTACCTAAATAATGAAGACATCATGAGTGAGATATCTTGAAACATTGTCAGAGACAGACAAGGGACTGCATCTTATATAAACAAAACAAAGAACTGTAGATGCTGAAGACCTGAAACAAAGACAAAGCACTGGACTCCACAGCATCTGTGGGGAGAAAGCAAAGGTAATGTTTCGAATCTGGTGACTCTTTATCAGTTCTGATGCTGCCAAACCTTCTCCAGCAATTTCTGTCTTTGTTTGGGGCTGTATCTTACATTTTTCCTTGGCTAAGTACAAGTTGCATTGAGGTTTTAGAGGCATTTTTTGCTGTAAGGTTCAACAAGATTGCTTGCCACATTTCCAAGCATGCCTCATTAGCTAACTCTCACCCATATGGCATCCCTCTCATTCAATTCCTATCCCATCTTACTGCACCTTTTTCCCAGAACAACTCACCATTTTCACTAGATATTTGTTAAAAGATCAGCATCTCTTGTGCTTGTGCTATCTTTAAAAGCCTTTTGTACACCCAGCCAAGCACTATTGGCTCTGCTGTGCTCCCTGCATTCTTCCATGTATGATGAACATGACGAAGTTATCAGTAGGCACCAGGAAGCCTGATGGATGAGCTGGGGCTTCCTCTTCACCCCAGACCAGCAGTGGAGGCCACTAGCAAAGTTTCCACTTTGGATTGTGTAGACTCAGCCTTCTGGAGCAATGCCCAGTGCTTTCGGAAGAAGGCCAATGTTCATCTTCACTCTTCCAACATAAGAGCTGCCATCTTCTCTCTGATGCCTCACAACTCATTCTATCTTTGTTGTTGCACTCAACTCTAACCAAGACTCATGCTCAAACACTCTCACATGCCTGCGACATCTTCCTTCATGTGCTCTTGTCCACCCCAAGCCCCAACAGTATTAACCCTACATGTCATTTGCACCACCTACTCACCTGGGACACCACTACACCCACACTAAAAATAACATCAATACCACCCTCTTTCATCTCCCTTAATCATTCATTCATTCATTTCATTTCTTCCTGTCATTCTTGAACTATTCTTAGAGTGTTGAGTTTTTCCACAAGATATTTTTAGGACTTCACAGTCCTCAGCAATGAGTAGTTCCTTTTATATTTGAAGTTGCTTGGGTCACCAGTGTGTTTTCCACATTGAGACAAATGTTGATAATTAAGTTTTTCAGATCCCACAGTGAACGCCATGTTGTGTGTATTGTCATTTGTATCTATTAAGTGTGCGGGTTATCTGGGGGCTTACGTGGTCTAATGTTTGTGGGTTTGGTCACCTTCTGGTCTAACATGAAGTGTCTTGTACGGTAAAGAGTCTTGTACAGTAGTTTATTGCATTTCTACAACTTGAGTCAACAACTTATCAGCTATAATAATGGGTTCTATAATTTAGGTTCTATAATTTTTTCTGAAGAAAGGTCCCGACCTGAAACGTCAGCATTCCTGCTCCTCCAATGCTGCCTGGCCTGCTATGTTCCTCCAGTTCCACACTGTGTTATCTCTGACTCCAGCATCGGCAGTTCTTACTATCTCTATAATTTAGGAGACCATGATAAAGTGGCAATGCCATTGGATACATAATCTTGAGACCCAGGCTAATGTTCTGCGAGATGGATTCATATCCCACCATTGCACATGGTGAAATGTGAATTAAATTAATAAATCTGGAATTAGAAACAAAAGCTAGTATACAGATTGTAGTAAAAGAGTTGTCAGTTGTTTAAAAAAATCATTTGGTTCAGTAGAGCTCTTTAGGGAAGGAAATCATCTATCCTTACCTTGTCTGGCTACATGTGACTCCTGGCATACAGGAATGTGGTTGCTGTTGTCTGAACTGGCCTGACAAGCCATTCAGTTCAACGTCAATTAGGAACAGGCAACAAATTCTTTCCAGAGACACCTACATTCCATGAAAGAAGGAAGGACCTAGCCATTGGTCTGTCTCCATGATATCCTGCTTTAGTCTCCTGTCAAGTTTTCATGATACCATCACAATGGGTGGTACTGATTGCATTCAATCATGTGTTAACCTTTAGAGATGCGTATATAACATTGTGTTCCTTTGTGGCCAAACACTCCCTGTAACAAAATAGTAGAGAGAAAATTAAACCAAACAATAAGTTAATGACGGAATTTG